TTCCTTAGAAATTTCACACTTTGGAACAAGTTTCCTAACCTATCAATGTTAGGGCAAATCACTGAATAGACTTACTTATATTTCAATTTAAAAATAATAATATTATATACGAATAAATGTAAGTTGATTTTATATGAGATACAAGTTTACTTAGGTGTATAATATTTTGATTCAATTCATTAAGTTCTTAACCTGTTGAATAAATCTGTGGCTTCGAAAAATGAATCAATAACTCAGTAAGGCTCATTCCTGATCCTCTACATAAAGACGCCCTCTGGAATGTAGATTTATTTTTTCATATATTTTCTATTGAAATTACCACATTTCTTGCAACTCTCCAACACCACCTAAATACAAATGTCATTCGTTGATTTTTTGATGAAAGAAAACAGTTTTATTAAATTATCAATAGTTTCTGTGAAGTTTGATAATATTTTCACTTTTAAAACACGCATTCTTGTATGTGTTAGAGTAAAGACTCATTAGGCTATCTGCTGTGTCCTCCGCTGAAATCAAACCCCGGATTTTAGCGTTATAAATACGTGAATTTACCGCGTTCCTACCGGAGGACAACACATTAGTTACAGTGTTTTTACTAGTTACATTAATTGTACACTAGATGGCAGTTGATTTGTTGGAACGTATTAATATACAGTAAAGTCCTGCTCGTTTTGAAGATCTCGATAACGATTCATTAAACTTTAAATCAACTTGTCAAATTAATCCAAATGAAACCTATATAGACGTTCAATTCAAACCCAAACAACTTGTTCTGTTAATGGTTGGAGACGGCTTTTGTCATCATCAGGTACATCGTCATCATTATCATCAGACACTTGTACCTGATGATGACAAAACCTTGTCGAAACGTTGTACATTTGCTGTTATGTTAAACTTATATTAAAGTTTTTCTTCATTACCCATTCAAGCCGTCTCCAACCATTATTAGTCTCAAAGTGGGTTTCTCGTCATCGAATTTGACTTGTTCTGTTGTTTGTTTTTAGGAAGCGCCAACTGTGGTAGATTTTCAAACTAAAATTCAGAATATATTATAATATTGTTTACATTGTAAATTCATAATGTTAAACATTCTCATAAAAGTAAGAAAATGGAATACCACTGCTGTTGAGTCTAATACTGGCAACAAACGCTGGCTATTTACCATACTATGGACAAGCTCCCCACGCCTTGCGGGTAGTCAGACCTAATGTATTAGTTCCAGAACCACCTTCTGCTGTAAGTTTGTGTTGTTTTAGTACTTTGAAATCCATTCGGAATCAGACAGAATAACTAGTGAATAAAATGACATATGTAGGTGTAATTTAATAATCTAGTATCAAATACGTCACCTGGCGGGAAGTGTGTGTAAATAAGTTACTGAGTAATTTATAGTGAGAGATAAGCCTGGCAACTAAAAGCCTAAGTAAGAATAAGTGATGTTTACAAGTGATGCTCTAACGGAATAATTTTGGACTTTTTCAGCCGATTCCTTACTCCTTCTCCTACACTGCTGATGCTACGGGTGGATCCAGCTCCCGTTCCGAGAGCGGAGATGGCTTCGGTGCCGTTAAAGGATCATACAGTATGACAGGAGCAGATTGGCAACGACGCATTGTTCAGTATACAGCTGATGCATCTGGCTTCAAACCCCAGATTTCAACCAACGAGATCGGTACTGACCCCAGCAAGAGTCCAGCTGACACTACGATCGACTCACTTCCTGGTGAAGTGCAGGCTCCAGCTGTTCCGTCTCTTGTTAAATTATTCAAACCTTTCCCTCGAGTTTATCACCATCCTTTCCCACATGGTTACCATGACTACCGCTACTCCTGGTAACAAAAGATAAAACCCTGATCGGTAAAGTACTCCTAACCCTGAAACAACTGATAGCTATATTCAGAGGTGATAATTCTTCTACTTTTATAATGTTACTACTGGAACTTGTGTACAGATGGATTATTTATAGCTTTTCCTGAACTGCTTAATTTTCTCTCACAAATAGTTGTTTCTTATCTTTGACAACACGATATTGAAAATGACTGTTTTAAACATTCCACTTTCAAATAAACGCATGTTTTAACAACTGTTGCTGCCAATTACTTTGTATTTTCGTATCTTTTGATTTATACATAGAGAAGTGAATTAGACCTTAACACAATTAAATATAGAAATGAAATCACTGAATTTCGATATGAAAGAGAATCACCCATAAATAGATATAAGATATTAACTAATGATAAGAACAGCCTTTATTGCACTATTAAATATAAAGAGTACATTAGGCTAAAAATGTTCAGTTTTAGCAATAATTCATGAACATGTAACATGTTAACCTTTTCTAAAATAGTGTGACAGTCACTTTTTCAAATGCCATTCTTAACCTGATGATGACCTAAGGAGGTCGAAACGTTGTTACTTGTTTTGTGTTTTAAAAATGTTTTTGATATATTAAATGCCAAGATGTAAAGATAGAAACAAATTTACATATACAAATGTTTCAATAAACAGAGTTGTTCCAAAGATAAATTATACAACTTCAACTATAAGATTAAGCTCAACATTTTTCAATTTCAAGATGCATATTTCTCTAATATACAAAAATGTTAAACATGTTTAATGTCACAATTAGAGTTGTTCCTAGCACATCCAAAAAATGTGATAATTTTATAGCGTTTCCAATATGTTTTAACACTTTAGTTAATAGTCATTCACACATATGGATTCTATTTCAAGATGTAGTCTTGTTATAAAGAAAACTGAACTAAATTTTGTTTTTACTACACTACATTAATTGTAGAACTTTAAGAAACTTAAATTAAACCTATAGAATTTATTTATAAAAAAATAATGTTTATTGAACATTATGCCGCTCTGAAACCCTTTTATAAACGATAAAGTAATAACATGTGAGACATGTATTGAAGGTGGTTATGAAACATTGATTCCAAAAATAAGGCATATTTTATTGTAATACTTAAAGAACAACTGAATCTCAATAATGGATGAGTAATATTGAAAAACAAAATAAGTTATAAGTAAATATTTAAGTCACTTTTATAGGTCATAGTAAATGTTTTACATGTTGTTTAACAAAACAAACTGTACATAGCTCTAACAATGCATATTTTACCTTCTTTAAACATAGCTGATTGCCTCTACTTTTTGATAATGCAGAATTTAAGTTGTTTTAACAATGCAAACTGCATCTAGTTTCAAATATTCACGCTATGCCTTCTTTAAGCAAGGTAATTTCTGCCTTATTGAAACAAAGAAGTTTCTTATTTTAACAGTGCAGTCGAACATTATTTTACAGCTTATATTGTTAAGATTATGTACAGTCTGTGCCTAATAAATAACAACGGAGATAGTAACTTGTTTTAATAATGCAAACTTTAACATATTTTAACAATACAATAAGTCATTTTAACAATGCAGACTATATCTTATTTTAACAATACAATAACTCATTTTAACAAAGCAGACTATTACTTATTTTAACAATGCAGACAGTACCTTGTTTATAAAATATGTAGACTGTTCCATATTTTAACAATGCAATCTATAACTTCTTTTTAACAATGCAGGTTATGCTCAATAAAGTAGACTTATCCATGGTTAACAATGGCTGTGTTTTGTTTAACAATTCTGCCTCTACCTTTATTAAGCAGTACAGTTCGTACCTTATCTTAACTCACAACCTGTATCTTATCTTAACAATGTAGTCTGTATCTGGTTTGAAAACTGTAACTTATACTTTATTTTCAAAATACGATGTCTCCTTTTGTTAACAATATATATACTCTTAAGATAAAATTATTGTACCCAAAACATAAGTTTAACTTTAACCAAATACGATTAAAGAGTTAATTGTGCTAATATGAAGACAATTACATAGTATGTTAAAGGATTCTTTTCAATATAATATAGTTATGTGAATAATTTTCATTGCAAAACACGAAAACATAAAGATTTGGAGCATTTGTCTGGAGAGTTTAGAGATGGAACTTTTATAATATTAGAGAGTAGGTAAACTATTGTTAACACTAACGTTAACCAGACTCGTTAGAACTGGCAAGTTGTACGAGTGAAATCATATGATAGTTAAAAGTACGATGTAAGAAGAAGACGGATACGAGAGATTAATAAACTAGAACAAAGACCTGTTCTCAGCGAGTTTTTTGTTGAACGTGTACGTTATATCGTATTGTTGATATTTATGACTGGGTGCGGTACTGAGATTATTCAGATCATGGTCAAACAAGTAAGAATATTATAAGAAAAATAAAATAAATTTCCTAAAGATGAGAAACGAGAGAAGTATTTGAGAGGGCGTTGTTATCGAGCAGTGATAAAGAGTTTAAAATATCGTCTGGTGAAATATCATTCACAGTATAACATCAGGGTTGGTATTTCTTAACCAATAAACGTAAGCGGAGTTTTAAAATTGGGATAAAATATAATTCTGTGGCTTATCCTTGGTAAGTGGTGTATAAAAGGGCACCGGGTTGTATATTAAGTCAGAAGTTGATGAAACTAAGGTCTAAACTTCTTCAACCGACGAACAACTCTTCTGTCAAAATGAGTTTCTCTGTGGTAAGATACGTAGCTGTGTTTAGAAAACTTCAAGAATGAATTAAGATTATTTAAATGTAAATAGTTTTAAGATAAAGATGGTAATCATCCTGGAGTAAAAAAGAAACAAGTATTTTATATATGTTCTGTGTTAATACAGAGATTATAAAACAAGATTTGATATTTTTATATGTCCCATTCAATTCTGTATATTCTTAATTCAGCTAATATCAACACTTTATATATTGTTATATATCTTGATATTAATTCATTCGGTACAGCTTCTCAGTTATATGGTAGTGAAAAAAAAATCATTTTATTTTAAGTTAGTTATATCTTACCTCCTTAGTGACGTTATGATAAAAAGTTATGTTTGTTATAAACTTATATATAAGCATATATATCATATAATTCACTTTGCTAGACAATCTACAAAACGTCTTGAATATAAAATATGTTTTTAGATGATGAAAAGACCATTACTGAAGAACAAATTTAATTAACATTTATAGTTTTTATTTGTTGAATTTCAAGCAAAGAAGTTCAATGGATATTCAGGATATCCGTTGATATGTTTATAGTGATGGACTAGCAAAAGTAGCTAATCAACATCAACAACTATTCTTCTACTCTAGTTGAATAGTTAGAGTTTATCCTTCCTTTTATGGTGTATCAACGAAAACAAAGTGCAGTGCGCTATTTTTATTTTTGGCAGTAATGAAGTGCAAACCACAGGACCTCAGATCCACAGTCTGGCAAGTTAATCATGAAACATGCTATTTAACAAAGTCAAGTTTGGTACCTGATGATGACAAAACCTTGTCGAAACGTTGTACATTTGCTGTTATGTTAAACTTATATTAAAGTTTTTCTCCATTACCCATTCAAGCCATCTCCAAGCATTAAAAGTCAAGTTTTTTGGTTTCTACTTTATGCCAGAATTAAAAATACAAACAGTACAACGATTATAAAATTTAACAAAATGTTGTTCAATGTCATGAGAAGGTTCTAAAATAATAATGTCCTCGACGTCATGTTATCCTTTATATGTATTTTAACTACCCATGTAGAACCATTTCCCTTTGCTGTACTCAATTTGGTTTTTCAGCTTACAATGATATTTAACCAAATTCTCTTTATGAGAGAAACATTTATATGATTGCAAAAACACTAGTGACATTTAACTGATCATTATATTGTTTTTATAAAGGAAGAGCACATTTTTATTATAATTTGTTCTCAAGGCAATTTTAGACCATAAGGAAGGAGGGTTTTAAAGATAAAACCCCTTTATAGTGACTAAATATTCTGAAGAATTATCATTCTCGTTACATTTCTAGGATTCTTACCAACGAATTGTATCAAAACTGGAATAAGATACAAATTCTCCTTTAATTTTAAAATGTTAATTTATTTTTCATTTATCTTTTGTTTATAGATATTTAACATTGTTTTCACGTTGCACTTTAATTAACAACCCAAATAACACGTTGACATCACATTAGTTTGGAAAATTCACAGAAATTTCATTTGCTACTTGTAGTATATCTTAGCAGCTTATGGAAAAAAAATCTCGTAATAATAGTAGTTTTGGAAAAATAAGTCCACTTACTACACTTTAATAAGCAGAAGATAATAGACTTCACATGAAAAAAATGAAGGGCGCGCCATCTATTTACAGATAAAGAAAGTCGTAAAATATGTACTTTT